AAATTTAGGAAGAGTTTTATAAAATCGTAGGGGTGTATTTGTTTGAGAATTTGAATGAAATTCTTAGATTTTTTAAAATATATACTTTTTGTGATTTTCATATTTAAGAGGAATCGTATGAAATCCTAAGTATAAGTTGAGATTTGGCATCGGATTTCGTGTATGGTGTTTTTTTTTTGAAACCTCATCAAATCTTAAAAAGTCCTAACAAATTTGAGTCTCAAATAAGTTAAATATCTCATGATTTTGTAATACTTTTTTATAATCTCAAATAAATACCTGGAGACATTAAAAGTCTTAAAAAGTCTAAGTACACCATAATTTCCAAAATCATAAAAAAAATAAAAATCTCAAACGAATACATCTCCTTAACACCCAACGTTTTTTTTTTTCTTTTTTTTTTATAAAAAATACTATTTTATTAACTACTCGTAATTATTTATTTTCGAATTATTTATGACTCAACTAAAATTATTATTTTAATAAACTATTTATTTATAATTATTTGTTTTTATACTGACTTTAGATCTAGCATAAAAAAAATTACAATGGAGTATGTGTGGTCATATTTTTTTCTTTTATTTGTTCGCATTACTCAAGATCTACATATATTATATTGGCAATTAGACAAAACATGTTCTCTATGCTTTAAAGTTTAGACGATGTATTTATATAAATTATAGAATAAATTACATTTGTGATATAGTTACCATGTAGGTAATTTGGAGTTAATTTGGACTTCTAAAATGGTTCAATTGCAATTACTAATAATAGATCAGTTTAATAATGATTTCATAAGTGAGTGATTGACCAGCTCATCGAATTTCCATATAATTTTATGTTACATTCTAAAATAAAATACAATCTTATTGATGTTTATTATTGTTTGGTTATAGTTTTAGAATTTTATTAGCATGTAATATGGTATTAATTGAATTAAGCATTTTTGTAATTGTTGGACATTTTTTTTTCAAGAATTAAAGGTTTGGTCATTTGTTACATTCGTTCATTAATGTTTATGCCCAAACTAAATCACGCAATTTCTAGCAGAAATCACAAAATAAATTTATTATAAAAAAAGTTCATAAATAAAAATCTCATATTTATATTATAAATTATCATATTATTTTATTTATATTATTTCTAAAAACATTTTAATAAAAATATATGTGCCTTGCAAAAAGTTAACAACATGGTTATATAATTATGTTATTTTTGTTATATCTATGATATGACTAATATATAAAGCAACCAATAAATAATAAACCATATACCTTACCTCCAAATAAAGCAAACTCGAACTATTTCTCACGCTGTGATAAATGACACATGCAAGCTCACGCGGCATTGTCGGGTTTGTTTTTTTTAAAAAAAAAAATAAAAAATAAAAAATAAAAAATTGTGACACAATCCCACAAAGTACTTCGATTTCGATAGTGTTAGAAAACAGAACGACGACGTTAATACACGTGTTGGGGGACCATTAACTCACAAAATTGAATGCATATAGCTAATCATTAGCTAGTGCACTATATGAAGTTGGTGAGTATATTTGTTAAAATTATGTTATGAAACCAACAGTTGGCTCCACAGTGGAATCAACTTTTTATATACAAGTAAATTATATTATATTAATAAAATTATTAATATTTATTTAAATAATCAGAGAATATGATATAGTTTACTTATTGTATAGAAGGTTGGCTCTAGGGCTGTTATCGAACCAAGCTGTTCGTGGACAAAGCTCGTTCGTGTTTGTTTGTGTTCGATAACAGATCATTCGTTTAGCAATTGAACCGAACTCGAACATGAAATTATGTTCGTTTAATTATCGAACGAACACGAACAAATTCGCGAACTAATCGAGCATTCGCGAACGAAAAAAATATTTTATAATTTTATATATTACATATAGTATATACATGTATAATATAATATATAAATGTGAATATATATTAAATATTAAAAAATAAAAATATTTATAATTTTATATATTATATATAGTATATACATATATAATATAATATGTAAATATGAATATATATTAAATATTAAATAAAATAACTTGTATGATATTTAAAATAAAAAAAAGTTAAAAAACACGAACACGAACACGTCGAACAATTTGAACACGAACTTGTCGAACAATTTGAACAGTTCACGAACAAGTTCGACTAGATAAACGAACGAACACGAACGTGTCGAACCAATAAACGAATGAACACGAACGAAATATTTAGTTCGTTTACTAAACGAACCAACACAAACATGTTCGAAAATTAGTTGACTCGAGCTCGAAAACCTTAACCTCAGTTCGGTGCGGTTCGATAACAGCCCTAGTTGACTCTACTATGGAACCAATCATAGAAGAACTGTTTGCTAATATTTGCCTATTAGTTACACAACATGAAGTCAATGAGTTTGAAATGAAAGTAAGATATAATTCGAAAATAAAAAGTTAGTGTAACACTCAATAAATTTGATAATTGAAGTGATGTAATATAAACTATAAAGTGCAATATGATAAAAATAATAATAGAATAATCATCGTAATATCTANAAACGATAGATTTTCATAAATAAACATTTAATTACAAACTAGAAACCAGTTAAATAGTCGAATAATCAGCTACCCAGCTGACTCTAGTTTGGAGGACTACAACAATGCAGCCTAAAATCAACCAAAAACACTCCCAACAGAAGAAGAAAAAGAACTCCATTAGTGAATAATACATGAAACACACTCCAAACGGGATAGAAGAGAAATAAAACACATAAAAAAACACAAGAAAAACTAATAGCAAAAATAAAGCCCTCTTACTGATCAATAAAAAAAAAAGCCCTTTTACCGACGAAGACAGAGCACAAGGTAATCAACCAAGGAAGGCCCAACCCACGGCCCACACACAAGATCTAGAAACTCTCTACCTGTTAACTAGATTTGTACCAAACTACTCGACAACTTCTCAAAAGTTCAACCCCAGGACTAACACCAGAAGACCGAAACCTCAACTCCTCCCCCGCATATCCGGCGACCGAAGCACCGCCGAACCAGAAACTGAGGAAATTCCAGAGCCTTCGACTTGAGAACTGACAGCCAAAAGAGGTCGCCGACAATCCCCTCCGAGAGAAAATCCGACCGCCGTGCACCTGCCCGCCATGGTCAATAAAACCAAGCGAAGAAGATATCGAAGCTCGTCCAATCGCTCGCCGTCATCCATGGTGCCATCCAGAGCTCCGGTCTCGTCGAGGAAGAAGGGCCCCGCCGGTGAAGAGGCGTCGCAGGCACCAGTCAGAAAATGAGGGTAGGAATTTGATAAATAATAACTTTTTTATAGATAATGTAGTATAATTGATCATGAATATAAAAAATATGTTGGAATAATTAATAAGAAAAAAAATAAAGGAAAATAAAAAAGTATTTATGTCGAGGAAAATAATGGATGCCTATCTATATATATATATATAATAAGAATTACTATTTACCAAAAATAGTAGCCATTAAAAACTATCAACATTAATTGCAATCCATTAATAGTAACTTTTTTTATTTTAATTTTGTAAAAAATCAGTTAACATTAAATGTTGCCACAAATTGTGAATTTTAGATCATTTTAGGATTAAAAATCTCGATTGAAAGTTTAGAAATGTTTCCATCGTGAATTCAAATATTTCTCTCCGTGTATATAGCCCTCTAAAATAGCCTAAATCTTTGAGTTTTATTTTTAAATATGATTTTATCGTTCTTTACATGTATGGACTACTTGGGATTTTATACTTATCAAACAACGCAATTTTTGTTCGTAGGGGCTTTGAGGATATTTAACTTTATCTATTCCCAATGTTTCATAAATCCAAAAATCTAAATTGATTAATTTATCACAATCAAGTACGATTCAGTTAAAAAAATAAATATTTTTAATAAATAAGTTACAGAAGTATCTGAATTTGAAAAGATGTTTTTTTATCAAAATATATATTAATTGTTCTTAAAAATGAATAGAACAAGACATTCAAATTTTAAAAACCGAGTATCTATTGAAACCAAAAAAATTAGGGTAATTAATGGATATTGTCAAATTATATTTACAAATCACCCACATCTCATAAATTGATTCAAACGAAAATCAATATTAATATAGATACAAAATAAAAGAAGTTGTTGGGAAAATCGAAATTATTAAGATGACTTTTTAATTAAATACATTGACTTTCTATTTAAGGAATTTTACCAATTATAAGTGAAATTAAAAAAAAAAAAATATTCACATCAGTTTTTTCTTGGAAAAACGCATATATATTTTCAAAAGTGACTTTCCCCTACAATTGTCGTTTTCCTTTTTTCTTTCTTAACCAAATTTGTTCCTCTGAAAATAAATTACTTTTTATTTACAAAACAAATTAAAAGAAAATCTTTTACCTTTCTAAGTTTTTACTTTTCCCTCATTATTTTGTAGTACGACCAAATTTATTTTCTAATGTCCAAATCAATATTATTTTTACACCACAAATTAAAACCTAATAAATTCCTTCCAATTTAATTTGCGTATAGTATGTCAAATATGATATGAATATAATATATCATTAATATTGTGCATTTTTTTTTCCATTTTTAACTATTATTATTATTATTATTATTAATGTCATTTCCTTTTAAAAACTAAATAATGATTTTATTTGTTTTCTGTTCTTTTATATATAATATTAAATTAACCTTCATTTCACACGATCTTCAATTTGCTATTCATATTGTATGTATAAATAAAAAATTAATTACTTTTAAGATATTAATAAGTTTATTAGTTAATATTCCATATACAAAATGAACTTAAATTTGTTATTCAATATTGATTTAAAAATATGAATTTAGTCTCAAATTAATCATACTAAATATAAATAAACATATTTAGTATAAAATAAATAAAATTGTAATTATTATGTTTATCTCTCACGGGTTTACAAACAATAATGCTAAGATTTACAGAAATATAAGTAAACAATTATTCAATGATCAAGTATATACCATATTAAAATAATAAATAAACGGGTCATTTATCGAATTGTCATGTAAATTATTGTATTATAAAAAACTAAAATGACAACTATTTTATAACGGATTAAATAACCATATAAATGTCATATTAAACTATTATATATCATAAAAGTAAAATAAAATATAAAAATTAAATATTAATATTAAAAAATATTTTATACTAATTAATATTCCTTCATTGCTTTATACTATTACCCCGTGCATCGCACGGGCTACGTACTAGTTTTACTTGACAGATTAAAAAAGAAAGATCGCTCCCTATATATAAAATTAGAGTTTATCGAGCATGGTGATTTATAATCTTATGTGACGAAGTATGGTGCTTCATGTCAATTTTAGTGTTTATGAGTAGTTAATGTAGATTCTTAATTCTTTTCATTACTATTGACACTTTAAAAAATGTAAAAGACTTTACTAACTTAATAACTTATAAATATATTTCAAAAGTTGATAACTTTTATATCTGTTATTATTTTTTTTTTCATATATAATATATCAAGTAATCGTTTATTGATGAGCTTTAATTTGGCATCCATATGTTGTGTAGAAAATATTTATTATCTATTAATATTAATTGGAAAAATAAAATCATTTATCAATTAAATAAATTTATATTTAAAAGTATATCCCATTATATATAAATACAAGATGTGTTGAGCCTAAAAGACAAACTCACACGTTTTGTATGCATATTTGGAACAATATCATGTTTTGGACCGCACATAGATAGATTTTCGGATATTACTAACTAGTTTAGTAAATTACTATATTTAGTTGTTAATTCCAATTTAACTAAATCGATTGAAAATAAATTACCGTGTTTAGTTATTAATTCCAATTTTATACTATGTTTAGTTATTAATTCCAATTTTAAGAATTAAATCGATTGAAATCATTCCATCACGCAAACATTCAAATTTGGATATAATTGTGTTAATCGTGGTTCCTTTTGGATATAAATTCTGAAGTTTCTTCGTATTCTCAATTTTCACTTCTTCCCCCTAATATATGTAACGCCCCGTTTGTCATTAAAAGCATGCTCATTGTGCATTTCATTTTATAGCTCGACTTTGTGTAATCTTGTTTAATTCAAACCAAAAATTAAATAGATGTCCTCGTCTATTTAGTTTGCCAACCAAAAATTGAGATTAAGGGGATGTCATCGTCTTCTTAATTTCTTCTATGTGTTTATTGTTCAAGTATGTGCCAATTTGTATTTTTGTGCCTTTGTGTTAGGTGTTTTATTATCTCATTAAGTATAATTTTCGCCTAAGTGATTTATGTATTTTATGTGAAAAAATTGCCCTACAGTGGGGGATGTACAATATGCAGGTCGTAATGGAAAAAGTCTACAATCATTCTTGAAGCTGTAGCAGGTTATAATCTTCGGATAAAGCATGCTTATTCAATTTGTCGGATTCTAACAACGTTATCAAAATATTAGAACCGTTGCATCTTTTCTAGATTCTAATCCAAGATATTGCTTCTCCAGCTAAATATTAAAAAAGATATAACATGGTTATCATTAAGTTATTAGCATACATCCAAAATGGTCAACATTGTGCAAACAATTCATGAGCCACGTCAAAACCGGAGCAACATTGGGCCCAGGTGGCCCCCCTAATTTTTTTTTTTAAAAAAAATTAACATATATATATATATATATAAAGAAAATAGTATAAAATATGTANCCTTATATATATATATATATATATATAAATACTATAAAATGTGTATAGAGATGTAAAAAATGTTTATAATATATTAATAATTAAAACTTGTTCCTATGCTAATTTTATTTAAACTAATAATATTATTTATTTATTGAAAAATAACAATCCTTATATTTTAAATTTCTAGATAAACTTTTGAAAATATTTATAATGATTTACTCTTTCGGTCTCTTAATTTTAAATTGATTTAGTGATTTATAAAACTGAGTTTAGTTGGATTGTTACATTTTTTAATGTCGATTTTTTACTCTTTTTTGTGTAATCACATATTATTAACTTTATTTATTTTTTTCTTAAAAAAATGGTCATTTGATAAGCTCTCATCAACAAAATGTTATTCAATGTGGTGCAAAAGTTCAATTTAAATCACATTTTCAACAAAAAAACTTATTTTTCCATAAATTATAGATGATGAACTTAAATTATAAATACGTGAAATCTTATTTTTTATTGTTTATTTTCTTAAAAGTTTGAGGATGATACGGATTCTATGTTTTTAAAAACTTGATGGTACACATATCTATATTTATATTTATAGTAAGTATATTTTTATATGGAATAAGTTTTCGACTTAAACTATAAGCTTGTTATTTAATATTTCAAAAATCGAGTCCCTCTGATTGTAATTTCTAGATCCCCTTCACTCAGCCACCTGGTCCGAAGAAAATATATTTTGCAATGAAATAAGAAGCATGCAGAAAAGACGTTGACTATGCGTTTGGAGGTCTTCGTTCACGTTTTGACATTGTAGTAGGACCAATACTTTATTGGTAAAAATAATTTCTACATTATATAATTACCATATCTATAACTTTTGCATAACATGATTGTAGAGGATTAATGTGACCTAAGTGCACCAATCGAAACTGAGAAGAAAATGCCACCATTGGAGGTCCAAATGATAATAGATGAAAGTAGTGGATTTCAGGAATTCATATCTCGGTACAAAGAGAAAAAAAGAATAAAGATGATAACATTTCACATCAGAATGCACTAATTGATCATTTGTGGGAGGAATTCACCAATTTTAAGACTTAAACGAATATTTATTTGTACTTGTACGAATAATTGTTTTATGTTCATCTCAATTTAATTTTTTTTTTCAGCTTGTGCATGTAATTTTAAATTTTAATGAATATTTATTTTTTCCATTTTTATCATATATATTTATTATAACTTTATAATTAATTTTATTACATAAATTCTAAATCAAATTTAAAATAATAGTGTCGCCTAATTTGTAAAATTACAAAATATGTGAGTTGTATGAAAAGTTATAAAAATTGATGTAAAAGAAAATATTCTGAAATATTATTTTGAGTTTGAGATTTTTTCCGTTGGATTTGACTAATTGATTGATGTAACAATTACAAAATTAATTTGAGAATAAGTTTTTCAATTGAAGATGACTTAACAACTCATCCAAAATTGAATTTATTCGATATATCACCCGATACCATGTAGTGAACCGGATTGACAAATTGGATTTACGTTGCCGTGTTAGA